TTTTTTTTTGAAGCGAAATAGGAAAATCAATGAAATAGAATGTATTTTATTGTTGAATTTGTGAACTATATAATTAACCATGCATTTCACTTAATTTTAAGTGGTGTATAAGTAGTAAAAGATTGAATTTCTCTATCATTTTCAAAATTATTTAATTTCCTTTTGAAATTGACTTTTTTTTTTTTTTTGTTACTTTTAATTACGAAGAAAGAAAAGAATTTTGAATTAGAATAATTATTTATTAAGTTTAACGTTCGAGTAAGAGAATAAGTAAATGAAAAATGCACTTAATTTACAATTTATTTATATGTCAAATAATATAATTATATATAATTATAGTGCCCACCATTTATTGGTCGGTTGGAAATAATTAATGTTTTTTTGTTTTGTTTTAACGTAAAATTCCTTTTCAGTGTCAAGTCCTTGAATTAACAGCCCAAAATTAGAGATCCAAAATATTTCTTTATAGGTGTATATATAAAAAAAGCAGAATATATCGATGAGTTCAATTTTTGTACCCAAGATAAGAGATAAAGTATAAGCGGTTAAGCATTTAATGGTATAAAATTCAGTGCTTTCATATACATGGACGGTGCTTGGCGTATGCAACGACGTCATTTTGCTTCATTTTTACAAGCAAGGATTTTGTTTTTATTTTTATTTTTATTTAAAAAAAAAACCATATTTTAGTTACTTTAATGCTAAGATCACCTGATAATTACATGAATGAATGGCTATCGCTTATTTTAAAATATTGTGAGATCTGTTAATATTAAAAATTATTTAGGAAGAGAAATTGTAGCACAAATAAAATGATTATGAATCACCATGTCAACATCATTTTTTAAATGATAAAAAATTAGTTATTATTATTTTAATTAAAAATGTGGTTTTCTTTCCACCTTATGTCATACGTGAGCTGTATATAATCTACCTGAGCTAAACCAGCCCGCATGCACTATATTTGATAATATATAATATTGTTTGAAAACTATTTGTTATTTTCGACATAAAAACAAAAAAAATCTTAAAATACTGTATTTGTTCCGTCAACGGATTATATAATTTAAATATGAAAAATATATTTAATATAATTAGGCTATTACAAATGGTATACCGGCCGTGGTGTGCCAACTTTCAAGATAGGTAAATTGTGAATTTCAAAAATATAAAATTGAAGGGTCAAAATGGATAATATTTACTAGTTGTAGACTTAGATTGTTACACTTTTTGACCAAATGTCAACTTTGGTTGCAATATGTCATACAAGTTAGGAAGTCTGTTCGATCAAGTGTCTCATGCATTGTGTTGCAACCGGCTACACGAGTCAAGAATTTGGGATGACATTATCCGAACTAACCTCTACTTAAAAAGAAATAACGTACAAAATGAACTTCAAACTTTTAACCTAAAAGACACGTGGACAGTTCAAGTGGATTGACCTTTTGATAGGGTTAAATGCATAATTCATTGAAATTACTATGATTCTTGCAGGTTCCTTTACTACCAAGTTTAGTAAATGAAAGCTCTATCTGTTGTCCTTTTCACTTAAATGCCCTAATTTCAAGATTTCTTTATTATAATATATAGAATATTGCTTGGGGGTGGGAAAAGACATAAAACTCAGGGTAGTATAAACCCGAAGCTCACACACTCTTCTTTACATTCAATGCATGTTGAAGGGTATATAAGTCTTTTCACAGTGCACAATTTCCATTGCTTAAATGCAGTTTCCGAGGTCTCATTTTCTCTGTTAAACATTAAATTCATTTTCTTTTTTTTTGGAGCAAACAATTAAATTCCTTTCGAACAGACAAATGATCTCACCTCGTCATTTTCGTTAAAATATTATTGTTTTTCAAAGTCTATTCTTTTAACCTTTAAATATTTAAATTTAATTATATATTTTAAAATAGAAATTTAAATTATGGGTAAATTTAAATTATAGGATCAAATACATATCCATAGGCCTCCACTCAGTTTGGATAAATCTCTCTTCGAGTTTGGAATACAATTTCACAAATGATCATGTATAGATCAGATGCAATCGTTTACTTGAATTTGTACATCAACCTAAACTACAAACCATGAATCTATCTCAACTCTAAGCTTCTATAATTAATATATATATATATATATATATTAAAAGTAGAGAAAAAAAAAGTGATCTAGCAATGTTTATGGTACTATTTTGGACTTTAATTCTCAGAAGATTTACTATAATAAGAAAAGGCTACAAATCTTGGTTTACACGATTGAGATATATTATTTATTGAATATATAGAAGATATTATATCTTAATATTTTTTATTTTATTATTTGATTTATATTATATTTTATTGTATTTTCAGTATTTAATTATTTTATATTTTCTTCATTTATATTTATGCTTTGCATCTTATTTAAAGGATATAAATATCAATGATAATACACACCTTCCCAATTCTATTTCTCATTCTTAACAAAAAAAAAAAATAAATAAAAAAATAAATAAATAAAATAAAAATATCATATATATTTAATATATATATTGATTTGAATTAAGTTGTTTTATTTATTACACAAATTTTCAATTTATTAACATATTTTGTAAAAATAATTATAAATATAAAGCTAATTATGATTTTAATTTAATAATATATAAATTTATATCTATTATCTTTAATTAAGTTCGAAATTATTTTTTTGATGAGTTTAGATACATAGTACTTCTCTACGTACGATTCACATACATCATATAAACTCACTAGGTAAATGTTACATATAGGTCAACTCTTCTACTCTAAAAGATTAGATTATAATTTAATACTATAAATAATTTAAAGAAAACAATATTTTAGTTAATAATTTATTCCTTATTATTGGCATGTTAATAATTTGAACATATAAATTATATTTAAAGAAAATACCATTTTAGTTAATAATTTATTCTATATTATTATGCTCGAAAAAGTCTCACACATGACGAACCTAGAAAAGATTAAACTTTGGCATCATTGATAAGTGACAATAGGATAGGAATATTTTCAAAACCAAAATTAATATTCTAAATCACTAATATGAAACTTCAGAACATTATTCTAAATTATTATATGTATATATGAAAATTAAAAACATAAAAAAAAAAAAAAAAAAATAACGAACCATCTTTTCTTTTGATCTTCCAATTTGTTTGAAAGACGTAAGTAAAGAGTGGTTGTTTTTCGTAGTTATTGATTGATTTACGGAAATATTCTCATATTTATTTGACAAATTTATTAATTATTTTTATGGATTATTCTGGATGTGATATTTAAATCTCATAATATAAACAAAAGCAATTAAAATTACAATCGTCATTAGTGACGCTTCTAGGCCTTGATATGATGAAAGGTCAACCATGATCATGTCCTCTTATTTTATTACCACAGCTTCGTCCCATTTTAATTATATAAAATATTTGTTTGTATTATTTTATAATTATAATATAATTAGTCAACACTTGGCCTCGTGGCTATCTCTTTCTACTTCTTAGTATTTTATTATTTAAAAAAAAAAAAGGAATTAGATACTTGTTGTTGATGGAGTGTATAATTATATAAAATATATTTAATTATTTATCCATTGATTAAGTGGTTGGATTATAGAGTACTCTAAAATAAGAGCTTATTCGATCGCTTTTTATTTTCTGTATGCTTATTTATGGACATTTTTCCTGGTTTGTTTATATGTTTTTTTAAATAAAATATCACCAGAAAAATACATTTGGAATAAATTTGAATATGAAACGTGGTAATATATATAAATTCCACACTTCATAGGTGTAAGCGGTGTATGATATGACTTCTACAACTTTAAGGATCATTAATTGAGAACTCGTGCCATCCATCGTTGTTGAAGGGAAGAAGTATTCAACTTGGGTCCTACTGTGGCAAATCCCTGACCGTGACAGGTGCTAAGAGAGGTTGTTGGAGGGTAGAAAGAGTTAGTGAGACTGGATGAAACAAGCGATTGGGAGGATGGTAGAGAGATGAGAGGTAAACATTAGGTCAGAGAGTATTTAACAATTGAGATAAAAATAAAATTATTCTTCCCTAAAACTTGGGATATTATAGTAACATTATCGGATACTATCGCTATCATATAAACGAAATAGTTATATATGTGCACACATATTTAACATAATTGCATGATCGATAAATCCTATTACATGTCCGCTCTCGTGGTCTTCAGTGCTACGAAGCACGATGATACGATCTCGAGATGGCATTTCGTGAATACAATCAATCTTTTAGAGGAATTCAAACCAAATTAAAGACTCGTTCAACTCTAAAACCCAAATCTACATGGTGGTGATTTAAATTTAAATATATATTGAAAATTCTTATCTTTTCGGTGAAAGAATATATTTCCAAACCCATTGGATGGCATAAAAACTTGTTGAATTGTATATTCTTATTTTTTCTTTACAGATTTTGTGAAAAATATATATTTTTTAATAATTTTCTCATTTTCTATTTAAATCGTTCATTAGTGTGGATGTTTGTGGGCTCCGACTCTACCGATTAAATACATCTCTAAATATTTGTGGATTCTGACTCTGCAGCTTAAATAAATAAACACTTTAAAAACATAGAAATGCAATTAAAAAAAAAAAAAAAAAAAAAAATAAAAA